TACATACACATACTAAATGGTCATGCACTCAGGCACAATCAAGGAGCACAGACCAAATATCAAGCAAATGTACAAATATGGAATCCCAGTTTCTTATACCTCAGAGTTTTCTGTCTGGTATGATTTAAAGTTGGCTTTTCATACCTTAGACTGGGGGAAAAGGAATGATTCAGTAATGGAGATCAATAGAGCATAGGACACGGAAGCCATGCCCCCATTCAGCTGGTTATATATGTACAGGATGTTAAGAGGTATAGATCCCAAATCCACAGAAATTCATCCTGACTTTGGATGACTTTCTCATTCTGTCTACAAATTTCAGGGGCTATTTTATGTAAATGATATTGCATATAGCAGCTCACTCCACATGTGTATCAGACAAGAATACCTAAAAAAATAATGAAAAAAAACCTAAAAACCCCATTTTACAGAAATCACTTTTACCTGTTTTATCTTCCTATTCTCCCTCTGTCTTTCCACCTGCCAAAAGAAAAATACTTTGGGCTTGAAGAGTGTGCACTAAGTCTTGCAGATTCATAAGTATGATTAAGTTTTTACTTAATTCAAAACAAGCAATGAAAGTAGTTCTAAAAAAATAAAACTAACTACAACCATAACACGCACAAAGTAGTTGCATCTTTGTACAACAAACCTCCCATTATCAACTAAGAGAATACTATTAGTGAAAATATCCTTTGTATTTCTGCCCTTTTTCCTAATTTAAAAATCACAAAATACTATCGACTATGGAAAGGGAAAATTGACCACATATCCCTGCCCCCTTTTTTTCCTTTATTCACACAGCAGAGTATCATGCCAATAATTTTAAAGTTTAAAAAGCCGGATTTGCAGTTCCTCCTGTAGCTCTTGCCACACCTCCCGGCATGCTCATCCTTCACACTGAATGGAGCAGCAGTCTGTCATAGCATGGAAAAAAGAATGGGATCCTGCAACTAGAGACCAGACCACAGTACACATGCATAAGAACCACATCAGGAAAAGTAAAGCAACAGGTAATTTCAAATCTGGATGCTGACACTAACTGAATAACGAGAGCGTTAATATGATCTGAGGAAGACGGCGCAGTAATGAAGCTTCCTAGAAGACAGAGAGCAGCAAACGTACACCCCTTTAGAGAGAATACTAGTCCTGTTGTGTACTTCCCAGCAACACTGGAACTCAATCTTCAGCTTTACAATATGTCTAAATTACAATGACTAAATGTGTTAGCTGGAAAAAACAAACCAAAACCAAACACCTATTGAAGGACAGACAAGCTGGGAGCAAAGCCTTGCTGCACTAAGGTGTCTGTCCAAGAATTCGGCCCAATTCTTGAATGTCAACCAGTACTGGTGTACTTCTGATTCAGCTAGTGCAATGATGAGCAGAAAGAAATCAAGGAAGAAAATAAATGGTAGTGTGCCCACGGAAGCAACTTTCTTTTGGCAAAGCAGTAATTGTGAGAGTCAGACTAAATTCAGCAACCCCACTAGAACCTTCTCAAGAGCCAAATAATTCCCTTCCGGGTTTTGAGCATAACATCATTGACACTGCCATTTGTGCAGTGATGCCAGTCTGGGCTTTTTCAGTATTCTAGCAATTACTTTACTTTTCCGTACAACACGAGTGATGCAGGGGGAATGACAAATTTCAAGTGTTTATGCCTCAGCAAAACTTAAACAATTTCATGGGGCAAGGAAATCAAACCACTTATTTAGCCTAAGGACTCTTCCTTTTGCCAAACTTCAATGGCTTTTGCAAACAATAGAGCTTCTCAAAGAGATCATACAATTTCTTTATAATGGAAACTATTAGGCAACCTAAATATAGAGTTCGTTACCACTTCCCTCTAACACAGTACGTTAGGGTTCTGTTCAGCATTCCTTACTCATGCTTCTAATGAGCTTCAGCAGGAGATTTGTCCAAGTAAGGAATGATTATTACAGCCCTAGGTTCCTTACATTTATACAACATCTTTCATCTAGAAAGATTTCAAAATGTTTTAAAGGTCACGTATAGAAAATTACTATATTCAGTACAGTCTCCTATCAAGAGGAACATAGTAATTTCTCAGTACCCAAGCAACAATACAGAACAATTTAGGTTAGAAAGTAAATAAGAAAGCCATGTCTACAGGGAGAATTTAGATCCTCAGTGACATTACCAAATTAAAGTCTGGCAACAGTTCTATAGTAAAAGGTACAGGGATTTCCAGCTGGAAGATAGGATCTTATTTTTATGTCTGACTCATGGCACATCTAACTGGCACCATGCTGGGGCACTCCTCTAGTACTAACCCAAAGAAAAGAGTGCCACCCTGAGAATCAGTTACACCACTTCCTGCAGCATCCAGGATTTATCTTGGACATCTCCCATCCAAGCACTGCCCAATTTAACCACTCAAGGTGATACTGCCATGGACAAAGTTAAATTAACTCCACGATCCAACCTAATTTGAAAATTCAGTCTCGAAGTATATTAAAATATAATCAAGAAGTCATAAGAATTATTTCCACCAATTTTAACAATGCCACCAGTTGTTAAAGATCATAATCCATGTCTAGCCTCTGGCATAAAAGATAATTCTTTCAGAGAGAAGAAATTATTCAACAGTGAAAACACCCACAAAGCCCACCCTGCACCTGAAAATATTTCTGTAAAATTAATTGTATGTGATTAGTATAAAAAACCCACAACTGTTTTAATCAACTTCACATCTAACTTCCAGTGACCTTCAAAACCACTGAACTTGACTATGATTGCCTATTTTTCCATCTGCAAATCTAGTCACATTTAGTGAATTTTCACAGGCAGAAGCAGACATTAAGCCATTCACCACAAAGAAACAGACTTCTCTGAACTAAAAACCCAGTGCTTTACAGTGTCATATAGACAAAGCTCTGATCAGTAATAAAATGCAGTAGAAATTTTGAAGCAACAACCATCGCACACTAAGAACCATGCTGTGACATCAACCAAATCTAACATTAAACTTCAAAATGGAAGACAAAAAAAAAAAAAAAAAAAAAAAAAAGTCAAACCACCATAGTATTGTTATTCTGATCAACACTGACGAAAAACATTTTGTTGTATAGGCAGTACCAGCAAATGTTTTAACAAGGCCCCAATTTGGTCTCTTGGACTCCAGCTCCTTAAAAAAAAAAAAAAAAAAATCACCCAAATGGCCTTTTGTGTCTCTTTGGCACTCTAACGATTCTCTCCACAGACACAAAGGTCTACTTACTAGCTCAAATATAATTTCAGAATTGGGGCCTAAAACTGCCTGGCCTAAACCCTCAACCTGTATTTATCTTGTGGCATGTGTAAATCCTGGACTTTGCAAACACGTGAAAATGCAACCCATTCAAACCTTACGGGGGGGAAAAAGAAACCCATAAACCCACTCAGCTACACATTGTTTCAGAGTTTAAGTAGAGAAACAAAAAATCAGTGTGTCAACTGAAGCTCTGCATACCAGATCACTGTGGGGGAGAAAGTGAAAACAAACAAACAAACAAAAAAAATAAAAGACAGACATTTTGTTGCTAAAATATTTAGAAAATATTAAATATTCAATCGAGGGAAAAATAAGGCAATGATGATATTGCCTTCTCAGGACTGTTTATTTTTTCCATGCTTTTTGTTTGGTTTTAAGTTTTAGCACTTTTATCCAACTGAGTTTCCAATGCAACAAAACGCAATTTTAAACTGACATTGCCTACCAAACTGGCTGGAGGTTAAAGAGGCTTTGTTTGTGCTGTTTTAAAGATTTTGCATTCATTGTTTCAGCAGTATTATTTTGCTGAATATTACCGATCTGTACATATCTATCTGTGATATAAACACAATGCCATTGTTATAACTGGAAGCCACACTATAGGTGGCAGATGCAATACCTCTCAGTGTATTTACCTAACTGATTTCTTTGGTTTAAAAAAAAAAAAGGAAAGATTTAAAAAACCAAACTAGTATTCAAAACTGATGTTACGAGAAGTCCTTTAAACACTCATTCTGATTTTCAAAAGTCTAGGAAATCAACTCCAGTAATAAAGATAAATCTTTTTTGTAGAGTAATTGGACTCAACCTCCACTTACAATTTCACACATGTAACATTTGTTGCAAGTCATATTCAGCACTGCTTTGACCAATACCTAGAATGTAAATCCTGCTTTTCAGAGGATTGCAACTTTTATTGCCACTTAAGCTTTTCCTGCTGACAAAATTAACCCCTCGCTATTATAACCGTAATAAAGGATTCTTCAGCAATATTCTCTTCGGTTAGCCTGCAACAGCTACAAGTGCGCTCCTGTTGGATTTGTAAAAAGCCTCAGCTCCCAAAGCACACATGTTTAGGCCACAAAACTGAAAGGAACCAGCAGACGGAGGGACCAGGTAAATCCACGGCAAGCTTTCCAGCCGGTGCACAGAGAAAAGGTCCTCCTGGAAAGTCACGGACACGCAGGGTGGCACTTCCATACGACGCAATTCAGTCAACCAACAATTCCTCCCTAAACAGCGAAGGGTTAATATCCACCCCTACAGCCCCCAGAAACCTGCACAGTTATGCTCTGTGATGAATGAAAATTTAACTAAAAAATGTAATAGTAATTTTTAAAAGGCTGGGGGGGCGGGGGTGTATTTATGAAGTAAAATTAAACTCCTAATGAGTTTAAAAGAACAAAACGAAAACAGAAACCACACATTAAAGGGTGAGCGCCTCATCAGGCACACCCCAGTGGACCGCTCTTCTTCGTGCGAGGGGCACGGCCTCCCCGGGGTTAGGCTGCGCCAGCAATTATGCCCTTCCTGGTGTTGACGATTTCTGTTTCAACACACGCCGGCGCGCCGCTCCCCGGCTTGGGTAACGCGTTTCCCGGTGAGCCCCGGCTGGGTGACCCGATTCCCGTCAGAGCCGCCCTCCCTCACGGCCCGGGGCGGCGGGGAGGCCGGCCCGCGGCTCCCGCCCCCGCTTTCCCCTCAGCCGCCGCCGGCGACCCACCGTGTGGAGGTGCCCTTCCTCACGTCGCACATCATGCACTTGAAGGCCTCGGCGCTGTTGCGGAAGGTGCAGACGCTGCAGTCCCAGTAGCCCTCGTCCGAAGAGGGTTTCGGCTGCCGCTTCGGCCTGCGGAGACACACGCGCGCCAGGGGCAGCACCGGCCGCGACGCCCCTCACGCCTCCCCCCCCCCACACCCACGGGGGGCGCCCCACCGGCCGCCATCGCCGCCGGCTCCGCGGCACCCGGCCGCCGCGGAGAGGGCCCGGGGAACGGAGGAGGAGGAGAACGCGCCGCCGCCGCTGCCCCTACCTGGTCGGGCTCTTCTTGTCTCCCATGCCGGCTCCAGACGCGTCCCCGGCGCGGCCCTTTGTGTGTTTGTCAATAAGGAGGAGCGCGGGGGGTCTCTGGGCTCTAGCGGGGACCCGGGGAGGAGGAGGAGCCGCCGCCGCCGCCGCCACCTCCAGCTGTCGGGGAAACTCCTGCCGCCGCTGCCGCCTCCCCCCTCACGTGTCCCCCCGCCGCCAACCAGCGGCCGCCCGCAGGCCGCGGCGCCCGGCGGGCCGCGCACGGCGGCAGGTTCGCAACCGCCGGCGGCTCGGGCGCTGCGAGCCGGGCGGCGGCGGGGCCGGGGCGCCGCGGGGGCTGCTGGGGGCGGCGGGAGGGGCGGGGCGGGGCGGGGCGGGGCCCGGCGGACGGGCTGCCCCGCGGCCATTAGCCCCGCCGGGGGAGCGGGGACGGGCCGCCCCGGGGGCACGGCGGCGCCGGGGTAGGGCGGGCGGGCGGGCGGCCCTGGGGGAATGGGGGGGGGTTGGAGCTGCCCCCTGGGAGGCCGCGGCTGTGGGGAGGCTGCGGGGAGCCGGCCAAGGGGCTGTCCCCAGCGTTGGCGGGGGAGGGGGCGTGAGGCGGCGCGGGGCTGACAGCGGGTGCGAGCGGTTTGGAGCGGGCCCGCGCGGCTGTCCCCTGGAAAACTGCGCCTCTCTGATCACCCGGCGGCCCTTGCAGTAGCGTCTGGGTTGCCTTGTCCTCCTTCCCAAAGGAGCTGCGCTAGGCTGTGCTTTACAGGAGGAAAGAAGCGAGAAACAGTAAACGCGAGGCTCGGCGTGGAAACCTTGGTCTAAACCGGCGTGTTAACGCGAGGTGCGGGGGGAGAACGCGGTGGGTACCGCTGCAAACCCAGGGGAGACGGGTGTCACCCAGTCCCCATGTGCAGCGCGGTGCCTGGGCACCCAAGGGCACCCAGGTGCAGTGTGGTTCACGGGCAGCGTACAAACGTTAAGCCGGACCAGTGGTGTTTGTTATCTGTACCGGCTCGGCGCAGAGAGGAGCCCCGGTCACAGCCTAGGATGCCATTTTGCAAGATGCTGTACAAACAGAACAAAGAGCACATGTCCTAAGTGCGCAACAAAAGGCGGCAGTTAGGCACAGGTAGATGGCAGAGTGCGAACAGACAAGGAGGTGGTGTCGGTCAGCATCGCTGCGGTCAGGAGTATTTTTGCTGCATTGTCTTTGTCAAGAAGCGATGAGATTCTGAAAACAAAACGTGACCAAGGGGAGGTTTACCCAAGTGTGTGAAAAATCATAACTGATGATGTAGATGTCTTTGAAAATTTAGCGAGTGAACAACGGAGAAACTTCCTGGTTCTGAAGGCAAAGTTCTCCGGATTTTGCATGGAAATACTGGAGTATGACGCAGAAAAGGAAAATGTAGGTAAAGTGCTTGATGTCATCTTAGGGAAGCAAGAAAAGAGCCAGTAGTTGGGACGTGTACATTTATGTAAAAATACTTTCGCGAGAGTCACAGTTCTCTGTGTGTTTCTCTAGCAATCCTATACACCACCAGTTTGAAGCCTGTGTAGTATTTCCTACATGTGGTTGGCCATTTATCTGAATTTCCGTCAGCATTCACATCCTGCTTCCAGTATTATAATTTTCCATGGCTTCTGTTTTTTTACAGATTTGCCTTGCCTTTTCCTTTCTTTCTATATTGCCATTTATTTCTTTCTTCTCTTTTCTCACAGAGCCTTCTGCAAATTACAGATAAAATGTATGGACTGCACATCTGGGGACGGGCCACGCCAGGCACAGGCAGCTGGCCCAGGTTCGTTTACATCTAGTTAGCCATCTACGTGAACTAGGTGCCCAGACCCAACTGCCAGCAGGGAGAAACAAGCTCCTGCTGAAGGTGATTGATCAGATGCTGACAGGCATACGATTTTCTCACCTACAGGGACCGTTTCTGTCCATTGACTGTAAAAAGAGCTTTGCACCAGTAGTCCAGAATTGGACATCTACTCTTTAAAATTGCAGAATTATGTGAGGTGATTCACCTGTGCTTGAACCTCACACTACGTAGAAATCTCCTGACAGGAAGCAGTGGAGTAAACCGTCTCCTTGTGCTCTTTTCCACTGTGCATTCTCTCTACTGTATAAAGAAACATATTCCTTACTTTCAGAAAGCAATTATTTTGAAACAACTTCCTTCTCTTGACCTTTCCTCCGTTGCAGCATACTTTTTCCATACCAATTTGTGAGAAACAAACCAGAAGTTCCACTGATGGTTACAAAACGCTGGGTTATGTTGTAATCCCACAGGAACCATTCTTGGAGAGAACCATTTCTAATCAGCAGGAGAAATCGCAACTGCCAACCACAAATGTTATCCCTAACAGCCGTGTAATCTTTCTGGTTGTTGCGTTCCAGAACTTCTGCTGCGTGGCCATCACCCAAACCACTGTGCTTAAAGATCACAGTGGTTTCCCAGCAGCGTTGAGCCTATTTCCCACTGAACTCCCAGCTAGTCCTTATTTTAGGAGCTGAAAGGTGATTCAGATAATGCGTTCAAAAGTTCAGGTGGATGGGTCATGGTGCCCTCCACGTGGTGCCGCCCACGGTGTCCATGGGTCTGTGCAAGGACGGGTCTCATTCTCAGGTAACGCCGATGAGGAAAGAGAGGCCGTTTTCCTCACACCTCGTTCTGTCCTCAAATAGAGGCACAAGAGAGCAGAGAAAGCACCAAGCATCCCATGTCATCTCTGCAACTGGAACGGTGGTGGAGGGCATCTTTTAGCAGCAGTGCAGGAGAGCACATGGAAGAGGTATGTGTAACAGACAAATGCTTAGGAGGTTTAGGTGGACTTTCCCACAAACTGACAGAGTTGAGAATTCCATAGCCAGACATTCTGTCAACCAGTGATACCTGTGTGAACCCAGAAAACTCATCTGTCTTCTGCTGAATATTTGTATGGCACATGACCTAGATAGTTTGAATGACAAAATTGATGGCATCACTATTAGCAGTTTTTAAAAAAATGCTTCGGGGAAAGAAAGGAAATGATTGAACCTTCATTTTGAATTCCCTTAGTTTTCAGTTTGATTTAATCTAGAAGTACAGTTGTTCCAGAATAGTCACTTGCACCCTATTTTAATTCAGCTGAGATAAAGTAAATGCATCTTTAAGACAGAAGGGATGGGCAATATATTTGTCTCTGTGCATCAGGCATTCACTCGCAGCTAGTGTTTGGTCTCTTAAAATTTACTTTTTTTATAGCATTGTACTAGGGAAATGCTCATGGTATGATTATGATACTGAATATGATATGCTGATAGCTTTGTGGAAGTTAAAGATCTAATAATATTTTCAATATCTTACGGTATAAATGTTCTGGCATGCATGACTTCTCAGTTAAAATTTTATTCATATTAAAGAGGATGTGAAAGGGGATGGTAGCAATTTCTAAGTATCTTTTTGTATGAAAATTCTTGTTGCAGAGAAAATTACAGTTGTTCCTGAAAAAAAAGTGTTCACATATGAGGTTATTAAAGAATAGGCTGTTGCTGTGTAAATCCATATGAAGACTTGCCATTTAGTCAATACTTGAACCATTGTTGTGCACATCAAACCTATGCCAGTTGCTGCATTACCAGCATCTTGAGCAATTAAGTAATCACTTTGTCACTGCTTGAGTTTAATAAAACTCTCCATAAAGACAATTAACATTATACTGTAGATAAATCACCCTTTAATCCCTATTTATAAAAAGAAGAACTACATAAGTATAAAATTGCACTGGAACAAATGTTACGTTATTCCAGCACAGTGTATCTGTTTTGCTTGGGTTGCACTGATACAATAAAATCAACACAATTAAATCAATTAATGGAAATTTGTCTGGTGAGGTTTTTTAATGTGCTTGGTATAATGAGGCCTGAATCCTGTCTGCAAATCCTGAATCCTGACCTGAATCCTGTCTGCTATTGCACTGCAAAACAACAACAAAAAAAATACTTCAGAGGTTTTGAAAAGTTGAAGATACTTGCAGACCCTGTGATAAAGACAGTAAAATTGGTGACAGTGAGAACTGCCCCTCCATCTTAACCCAACTTGTGTTTGCTCAGTCTCGGGGTCAGCTTGAGCTATCAAAAAAGTATCAGTGGCTCCTGGCAGTCCACACTTCTCTTATTAGTATGTGGAGGCAGGAAAGGGAAATTCTGCTCTGGGGCAGAGAGGGACCACATCCAGAGTATGTCATAACATCACAGAGCCTAAAATATGTTTTACAGTAGTTTGCACTTCCTTGCACGTACGAGCCTGACTTAAACGCATTTTTTAATTTTTAGGGAGATGTTGCATCCATGAGACATGGTTCACCACCATATCCTTCAGGTTTCACACAGTTAGAATGGCCCTGAGATCAGCAGGGATATGCTGTTTTGAACCTGGAGTAACATGGTGATGAATAAGTCCAGGCGTCTTTCTACGGTCATAATCTGACTGTATGATATGTCTGTGAGAATTTGGCTCCAAACACATAAGACAGAGTACACAGAATGCTCCCAGGGTATAGTGCAGCAGGAGTGTATAGTTTCCTGTGTAGGTGATCATTAAATCAAGAAAAATTCAACCACAGTGGTCATTTTTCATATTTGTCCTCTGCGGACTGGAATGAAATTATCAAACCACTTGATTTCAGATGCTTGGTAATTATCAAATAATTATTTTGGCTACTGCCTACTCTTCCAGTTTGGGCCCAGCCTTTATCTTTGCAGATTTTGTAGTGAAGCTTTTCAGCTCCGTAGTCTCTTTAAGTCATGTACCTTGTCACAGAAAACTCTCACAGTAGAAGTTTCCCTACTTTTTCCCTTCAGCCTCACATGGAGGCAATCCAAGGTGTGAAGGGTCACTGCTAGAAATAAAAGAACATTCTCTACACTCATTTAATATTTCTGGTCCTTTTGCTGAGATTCCCAGGCATGGTGGTGCACATGAGAGTCTTTTAGACTGAAGATGATAATTAATTTCAGGTAGGTCACTAAAGATTGTTCATAATACCAATACGTCATTCTTCTATCATACCCCTCACAGGAGAGGTGTGTTAAAAATTGCCTGTGGATGCTAGATGGAAGGTATGCCAGGCAATGGTTTCAGACACCAGAAAGGTGTTCATACAACATATGTCTGGACTTGAGGAGCCAGTGAAAGTTTCCCTCCTAACAAATGGTGAAAGATTGGCTTCTCTGGGGCAAATGTTTCAGAGTGGTACAGCTGGGGTCTTGCTTTGAACCATCTATAAAGGAAGCAGAAGGAGACAAGGCTCACTGCCTCTGTGAATTTGGATCTCTGGGGTTAAAGGAACTAGAGTGAAGCTGCAGCTGCCATTATCAACTATTGAAATTTGGAGCTAAATCTGCCCCTGGTGGTTCCCATCAGGGTGAATTGAGGTAGTGTCCAGTACATCGTCTGCCAAGGTGGATTCATTCAGGCAAAGCCAGAGCCCCCCAAGGAAGAATGAGTATACATTGCAAAGGCTCCTTTAAACAGAAACAATCTTTGTCTTCAGCTGCCAGTTCTGCTGACATCAGCGTAAGATCTAGCTGGTTACAGGGGTGAACACATACATACCTTGATTAGCAAGCCAAGCTCCCTCGGGGCCATAGGAGAGAAAGAAAATAGCCCACTGACAAAGCTATCTGTTCAGGTCTGCTCCCTGATTTCATCATCTGCCTTTATCCCTCCTACTTTACTCCCTCTTTCCCTTTCTGCTGTTCGTCATCCTCCTGGCTGTGTTGGTTTTTTTTGTTTTGTTTTGTTTTTTCCCCTTTTCCTTCTCCTCTTTATGTATTCCTTCATCCTCCTTCCTGTTTTCTTTATCTCCTTGTGTTTACATCTGAGACTTACCTTTATAGCTGGTCTTCTGTGCTGCTAATTCTGCCTGCTCCATCCTCCAAGTTCACTTTCTGTCATGTCCCACTCTTCCTTTTCTTGCTCTTCACCTTCACTGATGCTCTCTCTTTTAAGAGTTGGTTTAAAGTGTTAAAATATGGCCAGAGGTTGAGTTTCCTATTTTTGTGTCGTGCAGGTGGCAGGCTTCCAGTGGAAATAGTGCCAAAGGAAGAACAGCAGCCCAGAGGAGATTTCACATTTTACAGCAATATTTAAAGCATTCTGAATCTGATTAGGGGATATGGCTGAAAGTCATATAGCTTCCTAGTCCTACATGGCATTTTTTAAAAGCTGTCAGAGCAAAAAATGAAATACTGGAACTAAAGCCCCTAAGCAAGTTCCAGCTTCAGTTCAGTACTCCGATGTAGTGTCAGTCAGCACACAAACACCTACTGCAATGGCTGGATTCACAAGTGCCATAAGCCACCTTTGGATCAAAAGTGTCATTCAATTTTTCTCACTGTAAATCTCTTTTATACATTCCTCCAGATTTACTTTGAGATTGGAATTTGACTTACAGGCATTATCTCTGACAAACGAAGGGGAAAAGGTGAATGTGTAGCACTGTGGCATCAGGAGGAAAAAAGGATATTGCAGATGTACTGCTTTTTTTCAGATATAATAGGAGTAGTGAACGAACAAACCAACCTTCCATAAGAAAAAAACATACAAAGACGATGACTCCTTAAGACAAATGTCTCTCTGTGTATAATAAAAAGCGTATTTCACTGCTCATAACTATATATACACACATACATGCATTGAGACATGGGCACATAAATATTCAAAACCATTGCAAATTTATCTTGAAAGGTGTTCCATATCAGGCCATTACATTTTCATTATGAAATATATGTCTTACTTCAGAAAAAACTGAAGTAAGAGATGTTCATGAGAAACCTTTTTAGTCCTCTTTTCCCAATTCCCACACTATTCTTGGCAAGGAAGAGAAAGATGGATTTAATAAAGGTGCAGCGCACAGAAGTGCTGGTAAGAGATCACACTTCTTTTTTTTCTTTTCCTAGATTGGAATCACTGGCTTTGTCTCAGTTTGGCAAAAGATTATATCCTTCATGTCATAATCCATGTCAGTATCTTTTGCCTCCAGCCCCAGTGTTACACTTACCATTTTTGCTTTTTTTTCCCCTCCTTTTAATTAAATGAAAATAAAACATAGCATCTAAACAACAAAAAGGAACAAAAAAAGCACAGGGGTCAGATCCAACTAATAGAACACACCTCCGTGTGTGTTCAGAATCAAGGCCAGGCAAGGAAGCCTCTCCCCTGAGGAGAAGACAATTTCCTTGCCACTGTGTGGAGGTTATTGCAATATCAGCATCCCTAAATAACCACACACTGCATCTTACCACTCCTTCGTCTCTCTTTTCTTTTTGGCTGGGCTTGGATTGTTGCCAAGTGTACGGCTGGACTGTGTAGAGACTCAATATCTGTTGGAAGCTCTTTACAGAGCTTCTTTTTCAAAATAAATAGATACAGAAATGAGAGAAAGAGTAATGAAGTTCATTAATTAATGTGGAGCGTACCCTCAGGCTTCGCCTGTAGGTTCAGAGCACTGTCTGTAGCAAGTCCATTGCACTGACAGGTGGTCTGGGGCTGGGAGAAGCAGAAATCTCCCAGAGGAACTTGTCAGTTGACATGGATCGGTGTGGATTCCTCCTGTTAGGTAATTGCTCAAGTAGAAGATTCACCAAATTTTTCAGGATTCAGGAATAACTGTTTAAATAAAAGACTACCTAATCTTACAGCACTGTTATTTTTAAGATGATTTAAACCTTTAAAAAAAAAAAAAAAAAAAAAGTGCAGTGGAAAAAAATATTGCAATTACCAAGCTGATCATCCCAGATCACCATCCCTGGAAGATGAACACTGAGGTCAGACGACTTCTGTAGGAAGCGGCTGCACCGCGCGGTCTGGCTGGTGCTGTCTAGCCTGCAAATGACCGGGGAGGCTGCACGGCTAATGCTGCAAAGGCACACCGCTGGTGCAAAAGCTCTGCTCTCAAGCTAAACTGCTGCTCTCTGCCTGCTAAAAAGGAAAAGGACATGTAGTTACACACAAAAGGGAGTTTGAAAAATGATAAATTTTGCTACTTCTGCATTAGAGTTATCGTCATCTGTAGCCCTTACATACTAGCCCTTAGAATGGTCTCTTACAGCCTTACAAAGAAATCTTCAAAGAAATCCTGGCATCAAGGCAGTGTAAGCACAAGCTTTAAGTCAGCTTTGCATGACAGCTTCTGATTTATGCTTTCAAACGTACCCACAGATCTCTGCCTCAGTTTGTTAGTTACCACTTGCAAAGTACATAAGGACATGCAGTGCCTTAACATACCTCTCCCAGAATAATAAAAGCTTTATACATAAACTATTAAATTAGATGGTTCAGAGAAAAAATACGTTTTCCTGAAGACTGGATTTATTAAGACTATCTAGAAGCTTCTATTTTTAATTCATTGCAAATTCTGTAGCATTCTAGACAACTTTAATGTCCAAATTTGTCCTCACTAAGTCTATTTAACTACTATCATTTTCATATAAACATTGCTAAATATTGCTAAGAATGAAGTGTTTAATGTGTTTTTTTATGATAGCATTAGAACATATAGTAAAGGCTTTACCATTTCCCTTATCCTTAGGGATGTACTTAAGCAGATAAAGTAATTAATAATGTGAGTTACTAGCTTATATAGTAACAACAGAATATTTGTTAGCTGCGCGTGTAAGATTTCAAATAAATTCAGTAGTTCTATCTGTAGTTCAATTCTTTGAAAGAAAAAAAAAATCCTATAATTGGATTTATTTGTTGAAAAAAAGCTATTTCACAGTTAAGGAAGGAGACATGTAGCAAAAACTCTTTAGCCACACCTCTCATTAGCGTGCAGTACAACGAGCTAGATACTCTGCTTGGATTAA